CTTCAAAGACCAGGGCAACCGTGAAAGCAACCGTATTTAAAAAAAAAGAATTTAGAAGTTTAGTTGCTGCCAAGTTTGGGAAAAAGTAAATGCATAATTATTTGCTCAGATATTAATAAGGAAGCCTAGATCATAAAACCAAAAGGGACCCAAAAGATCAACTTCTGTCTCCAGAATGCTAAAGTATTATAACTACTTTATAGACAAAGCAACTGAGGTTCCAAAAGCAACTGCCTGGAGCCCCTGGGTGGACACAGGGAGGAAGGCACAGGTCCCGGGGGGCTCTTCCACCTGAGCTCAGGGAAGGAGTCAGCACCATGGACCCACTCACTCTGCTCCTCTCTGCTCCTCACAGCCCAGGCTGAAAGGGCTGCCCCAGACACCCAGAGGCCTCCGTGCTGAAGGGGCCCGGGCTGAGGGCACTTGGGTCAGGGAGGCCTCCCCTGCCCCCCGGAGACCTAGGCGTGCCCTGACCACAAGATTGCCTCTCCGACACACTGAAGAACAAGGTGGATAAGGGAAGTCATGTCAAACTGTCAAAACGTCCTGGTGTACGCAGAGGGCAGAGAGCTGGGGAAGGGTAATGAGGAAGTGTGATGAGTAAACAGAAGTACAGAGAGAGTGAAGTCAGAGAAGGAAACACCCAAGAGGGAAGTGAAGTTGACGTCTGGCAGCTGATGGACTGCTCTGAAGTGGGGTCTGCGGCAAAGGGAAGTCCAGGGAGCCAGCTCTCCTACAGCCCCTTCCCTTCTTGGGTCCAGATCACGGAACCCCTGGATCCTGGAGGAGATTTCCAGCAGGAGATCCCTGTTGCAAGGCTACTGGAGCCTCTGCCCCGTCACTACCTCGGAAGCCCACGGTTCACCTGTCATCTGCAGGGCTTGGGACACAGCCAGCCTTCAAAGCATAGTTGTTAAATAAATGAGTTTTCCCAGACCCTCGTGTCTCATGACATCCCGGTAATAACTAGTTCCTGTTGGATGTGAAGGGCTTCCCGGATCGTAAGTTGCTTTCACATATGTTTATTGCATTTTATCTTTATAACAACCCTGTGGGAAACCCAAGGTTTACATTAGCCTCGCCTTGCAGATGATTATTATCCCCATTTTACTGATGAGAAAATTGTGCTTTTGAGAAGTTACTCACTTGCTTAAGGTCATGGGCTGAGGAGCACAGAACACAGTGTCCTTCTCCCAGAGGCTGCTCTCTGCACTGCTTCCGACTGAATCACCAGGAAAAGAGGCTAGACTGCAACATCAGTTTGACTTCAGACCACATTAACAGGATAGCAGTTTATACTCTTCCTACACAAACTCAAATTTGTCAGAGGCTTTGAGTCACAAATCCTCTGAAGGCACAGGCACGAAGGTGGGGGCTTGTCTGTGTCCCAGGGCACAAGAAACCTCTCCAGAAGTTTGGTTACAGTCACGGGACAAGGCTGGGGTGTGGGCGGCACACAGGGAGCTGGAAGGCAGAAGTGGGCAGACCAGTCCTGGTGTCTTTTAAGGAGGGAAAGATGAAACAGTGGCAGAGGAAACAGGAAGGATGGGGTCATTGTGAAGGCAGACGACAGGACAAACAGGAGGAAAAGCAGGTCAGTTGTGGTAGTGACAGGCCTGGACTCGGGTTGCTCCTTCCACAGACCAAGAGAACAGCTCCTCAACCACAAATAAACACCTCTGCACAAGCACCCAGGCTACCGAGAGCTGAGGGCCAAGGATCAGGAATGCTTACAAAACGTTTCCCCAAGCCTTCACGGGCTGAGGGAGAGGGAGGATATACCAGACAACACATTACCTTTGTGGCCTAGTCTGCAAGGCATAGTGGTGGAGGGTGCAGGCCTAGAAACCAGTCAGACCAGCTTCGAAACATCCCTTCTTAGCTTGATCTTGAGCAGGTTATTTTAATTTTTCTGAATGTTCCCCTATCTGTAAAACAGAGATAGTATCTACTTCACAGAGCAGTGAATGTTAAATGAGTCTTTGATACGGAGCCAGGCACTCGTTAGCACTCGGTAACCTTCTTATTGTTACAAGTATTATTTCATTTTATACACTTTTTTCTGTTTATAGAGACAGGGTCTCACTATGCTGCTCAGGCTGATCTCGGACTCCTGGCCTCAAGCAACCTCCTGCCTCAGCCTCCCAAAGTGCTGACAAGCCCAAGCTACCAACATACACATCATCCTAACCCTACCTCTGTAATATATCTGGCCAGTCTTTGCTTTTTCTGTTCAATAACCTTTTTTTTTTTTTTTTTTTTTGAGACAGAGTCTCACTCTTTTGCCTGGGCTAGAGTGCCGTGGCATCAGCCTAGCTCACAGCAACCTCAAACTCCTGGGCTCAAGCGATCCTCCTGCCTCAGCCTCCCGAGTAGCTGGGACTACAGGCATGCGCCACCATGCCCGTCTAATTTTTTTTCTATATATTTTTAGTTGTCCAGCTAATTTCTTTCTATTTTTTTTTTTTTTTAGTAGAGATGGGGTCTTGCTCTTGCTCAGGCTGGTTTCGAACTCCTGAGCTCAAGCAATCCGCCCGCCTCGGCCTCCCAGAGAGCAAGGATTACAGGCGTGAGCCACTGCGCCCGGCCTGTTCAATAAACTTTTCAACTCCAGGCTGTCACAAAGCCAAGCAAGCCACTGCCAGGCAGACAAAGAGGGTGGGAAAGGTGAGGGCAGAGAGGGGCACAGAGGAGGCCCCCCAATCCCACCCCGCTCTGACACTGGGTGGACCGGCCAAGCAGGACACCGAGAGGGACCCTGCCTGCGCCGTGAGTGCAGCGGGAATCGGACAGTCCTCCTCGGGCGCACAGACTCGCACCTCCCGGTCCCCGCACCGCAGGACCCACGCTTCCGCACCCGGCTGAGAGCGACTTCCAGAAATGAGTAAGCTCGCCCGCCTGAGAAAATGAGCTGAACTAGTCTGAGGGGACGTCTGTCTGTAGGAAATTAGAGACCGGAAGAAGAATACTACAGACCCCGCCTGAGCCATCAAGTGTTTCGTCACCTCCCTTTCAACAAGGCCTTCCTGATCTGCCCTTCTGCTGTGGTGGGAACATTGTTTTGCTCTTGGGTCCACCAAGATGAAAGAAAGCACCTGTCCCGTCCCCGTCGAGGTCACTAGGCCTCTCTCCTGTGAGGCAGAACACTGGGTCTGGGGGCGGGGAGAACCGGGCCCCGCCAACCCCGGGACAGCGCAGGAGAGTGGGGCCCCGGGCAGTGGGGGGCCTCGGGAGTGGGGGGGTGCCCTGGCAGTGGGAAGGCCCAGGAGTGTCGGGGCCGGGGAGTGGAAGGCCCCAGGAGAGGGAGGAGGCTCTGGCAGAGGGGGGCCTCGGGAGTGAGGGGGCCGGGCAGTCGGGGGAAGGTCTCGGGAGTGGCGGCCCTCGGGAGTGGGGGAGCTGGGTAGTCGAGGGCCCCAGACTACCCGCCACATCCGCCAGGCCCGGATAAGACGGAGGCGTCGAAAGTGTCCAGGGGACTCGCGACCTCCTTGCGGACGCGGGGCTGCGGAAACAGCTAGGGACAGGAAGTTGAACCCGGTGCCAGCAGGCTGCGCACCCCGGAAGCCGGGAACGGCCCGCGGATTCCTGGAAGCCCCGGCCGCGCAGGCGCCTCAGAAGCCCCGCCCACCCCGGCCGCGCAGGCGCCGCGAGGAGGCCTCGGCCAGCGCAGGCGCGGCTCCCGCGCTGACATGGCGGTCGTGCTGCTGCTGCGCGCCCTGCGCCAGGGCCCGGGGCCAGGTCCGGGGCGGCTGTGGGGCCCGGGCTCGGGCTGGAGCCCCGGCCTCTGCGCCGGGGCCGGGAGGAGGTGGCCGCACTGGGTCCTCCGGCCTCCGGTGGACCTCGCTGGGGCTGGAGGCCGAGCCCTACAGGTAATCCCTGGGCGCCCGCCCCACCTCCCGGCTTCGCAGAGGCTGAGGGTCGCGGCGCCGGCGGCCTTCCCACCCGGCCCGGTGTGGGAGCCGGCGCCTTTCCGCCCGGGCTCTCGGCTCCTGCGGGCTTCCTCCGCGTCCTTCGGGACGTCGCTGCCCGAGGAGAGTCGGGTTATCTCAGGCGGGCCGGAAAGGTGCGCGGGCCTGGGGTCTGCGTGGGCCTCAGTGTGGACTTTGTGTTGATGTTTTCTCCTCCCTGGCGTTTTAAAGTTGAATCCAGTAAGAGTTTCCCGGTTTCTAGCAGAGCATTAATTTACAACTGGCTGTTATCCGTCAGTTCCTTCACGATAAGTTCCAGCGCCTTCCAATAATACCTGCTGACGGTGAAAGTTTTTGTGTAAGCAAGATACCCTGTACCTGCATTTCGCTTTTTTGTAATGAACTTGACAGGTCATCGCTAGAAATTCATTGAGCTCCCCTGTGGGAAGGTGTGTCCATGCCCCGCTAAGGTTAGCTTCCCATCCTGAAAACAAAAAGACCCTAAATCCTTAGGCTTTTTTTGCTGATTTTCTTCTCCCAGCTCTCACGTTTTATGTTGTAATTTATTCTTATATTTTGCCATAACTTGTGAGGGCGTTTTAAATTATAATCCTGTGTTCTAGACTAATGGTCACCCTTCCTGCACCCGAGGGCAACTATAGATTTATTACACTTTTTTAAAA